TGACGTCACTGCTGTAGAGCTCGTTACGCGTCAGCAATTCCTAGAAAGTGACAACATTAGACCAGGAGGACAATGGGGTGTATCGTCTGGTGTGAACATTTCGAATACTGATTACGAAAATATATTATATACAGGCGTTTATAGTGCCTGTGAAGTTTTGGAGGGGCGACACCCCCGCACATTTTCCCGAGGGGGCGCCCCCCCCCCCCCACACACACACACACTGTCACACTGTAAAATCTTAGTCTCAAAACTCAATCTTAGTCGGGTCCCCTGTCCCAATTCCAACGCTGTAGGCGGTTAAAAACTGTTGCAAACTTGGCTGAAGAGCTGAAATCATTGGCCATCATTATTAAAGTCTAAAAATCACATTATAGTTATAATCACACTAGTATTCTTGTTGTTTTAACATATGGTACCTTATTATTATCATTATAATAAAATACACTATACAATTATCCCAGCATGAAATTGGAGCAGGGGACCATACTAACTCAATCTGCGCCAATTTTATTTTTATGTATTTTAAAACGAGGCTTTCATTTGCATACCCAAATACCCCTTGTGGCGTATAATAAAGGGGAACTTGCTGGTCAGTGTCCATTGCCGATAATGAGGGTCGGCAAGGGGTATTTTCGTAAGCTGTAATCTGTTCAATTGTTTTTATTTTCGTAATAAAGTAATTTAAATGAATAAAAAACTTAAATTCGAAGACATAGGCAATGTGTAAAATGCAATCAGCTTTTATTCGTTCGTAATTTGTACAATTTACTACAAAGATCTTATTTTTTGTAAGCGTATAAAGCATTTTCCACATTAAATGTCGTAATTTGCACGCAATTTCCAATTTTGATTCTCAAACACAAATTGTGCGCATGGGCACGCGACTGGAGTCGGTTGTTCGTAGAAACCCGGAATAGAGAACTCGAGAAGACAAGTTTGCCGTACGATACAATAACTCAACTGTTTATTCGCTTCACTCGATTATAATTAAACAACAAACAAACTACTAACATTAACACCGGGATGTGATTGGTTGAAAGAACTGTGGGTGTGGCAACAACAGTGGGCGTCTAATTAGGTCAGACTAACAGTCTCCACACAATTATCACATATGTTATAAAAATGTAATTAGAAATTTGCTTTATCTATAAAGTGGAGAAAAAAACCAATTGTTTACTGTAAATGTAACTTTCATATTATTTCCTGTTAAAACGTAAAATGTCTTTCATTTCCTGTAACCTATACCAGGAAATTCACCCCCCCCCCCCGATAATGTACAGGGCTACATTCTGAATTTAATATTCTCACAAATGAATTTAATAGTCTCACAAATGAATTTAATATTCTCGCAAATGAATTTAATATTCTCACAAATGCTAAAATACCAAAGCAGAAAATTAAATTCAAAATGTAGCCTTTTGGTTCAATGTGCATTCAAGTCAGAAAGCAAACTAAATGGCAACACATCGACAACATTTGTGTACAAATTACAAGAAATATCAAATGTACATGATAATGCAGAATTCAATAGTATACAAACAAAAATGAAATTACAGAAAACCTATATTGATAACAAGTGGTTGCCAGCCTTCCAAAAAATAGAAAATAATAAATTACGCATTTACAAGACATTTAAATCAAAATATGAATTTGAGCCATATCTAGAACTTGTAGAACTTGTAGAACAAGTATAACCACATTTAGAATCTCTGCTCATACACTGCCAATTGAAAGGCTAACTTACAAAGGCATGCCCCCAGAGGAAAGAATTTGTTATTTGTGTGAAGACAAGGCTATTGGTGATGAAATACATGCATTATTGGTTTGTAAGAACCAAAGGTTAATAACTAGTCGTACACAATTGTTTAATACTTTGTCATTGTATAATGATAGTCTACTAACATTATCAGAACAAAACATTTTCAAACAAATTTTAAGTTCAAATGATGGTTTGATTACCAACAGCCTGGAAAAATTCGTCAATGATATTTTAACAGAAAACAAAAATTAAACTTCTAATATTTAACATTTTTTCTAATATTTATTTTATATTTTTACAGTGTTTGTTTATTTGTTATTTGTTTGTTCGTTTATAAAGTAATGTATATTGGCCATAGATGATGTATTTTCCATGCACTATTTTGTGTCAAATAAAATATACTATACTATACTATATTATAAGGCACATTCTTATTCAATTTTTTCGCCTTTGACTAAATTGCCACTCATGTACTTGTTTCTCGAGGAAGACTGCACCACAAAGATACGAAATACATCCCTTCTTGTGTAGCTGGTCGCCACGATCATCTATGTACTGCAAATCAGAGTCGTTTGTATTGTGGTCGATGAAGTCGGTTGAAGTGCCGACATCCATTGCCACGGAATTCTACGCGATCTCAATGTCTATTTCGAGGTTTGTCAAAGTCGAGTTTGACACCTGGTTTGTAGTATTTGTCAGGTCACTGCGTATGTTCATACTGACGTATTTCATCGATCGTCTGAGTGAAAAAAAAAAACAGATTCAAAATTAAAATAAAAACATTGAAGTATAGCGATCAATGAAATAGAGAAATAATAACAAATTATATAATGAGTCGATGACAGAGGCGGCGACACGAAATGTTGAATTGAAGGGGTGAAATCTGCTCACCATCCTTACTACTCGGGCATGCTCCCCCGGAGTAATTTTGAAACGCCATGTCCTGCATTTGAGGGGCAAATTTTGCTGACATACATAGCGGCGGTTAAAGTTAAAAATCATACACAAATGCTTTCAGCTTGGTTTGGGAGGGGCGACGCCCCAACGGGCGGGCGGGAATCGTAAATCACAGATAACCGCGTGCAAGTGAATTGACTTCCTAGGCTGTTGAAATAGATGAACATGTCGGATCACGGCAGGGAAAAGTGCGTGAATGGCGGCGTTTGATTGGATAATAAAACTAATTGAGAGCGAAAAGCTGTAACTCCTCTTGCAAAACGATCTCGTTTTCGCTTCTTCACTTTTCTCCTGTTTTCTTTTCTTAACCAAGTCAGTGTTTTATCAAGATCTGCCATGAACTCAGTAGATTGACTGCAGTTCACTCACCATGCTGTCATTGTAAGCCGTCTGTTCAATAGCCCACTGTTTTAGGCGTCTTCCATAACTGGTAAATAAGTCAGAGTAACTTTCCCCAACCAGTGACAAACAGTGAGAGGCCGTACCACTTCTTAAGCGTGCATGAGACCCCATGTGTGAATAGTAATAGTGAAAGAAGACAGCCAGATGATTGGCAGCCGCGTTTCAACATCACGCAGAATTTCAAAAATGGGCTTTTATCTTTGGAGAATACTGAGAACATCAAAGAATTTTCCTCTAAGTATGCAG